AGTAAGGGGGAGGAGAGAGAAAATGTTTTGGGGGGGGGGGGGGGGAATCTTGGAGTGTCCTTGGAGAAGGGTACGGGCTGGCCTGGGACGACGCCTGCCAAAACGCAGGCTCAGAGGACAATCTTCAACTCTGTCTCCTCTACTTTCTGCCGATGCTGCATCAGCCAGCAGTTTGCTGGATCAGCTGAAATGTGAGAACCTGCGCACTGACAGAAGCAGCATCAGATGTTTAACCTTTAAATATTCATCACTTTCTTATCGTGTAGCCTCTTCTAACCCTTTGCTCTCGCTTTTTTATGCGGAAAGACCAACCCAAGGAAATACGGGCTGCTGCCACTGCACCAGCAAGGTGCACACTCAGCTCTGGTTTGAGTGCTTTTGTTGTGCGCAAATACTATACAGAAGGATTAACTTCTGGGTGGAAATGCAATTGCCCATGTGGTTTTAAACTTATGATCCTGTTCTGGGAGTGATTTGTGGGCTGGCTGATGCTCTGCTCCTTTCAAAAGCAGAACCCTGGGTGTTTAACTCATACAACTTAACTCACAGTGGCTCGAATCAGGGTCTGCGGGTGGGCTGCAGTCAGGACACCAGTTATATACAGTGTGTCATGCGTTATATGTGGTTATTTGCACAGAGAAGTCAGAGGAGCAGGGATGGAGCCAAAATACTACTCTTAGAGCCAGTTTTTGTAAAAGAATATTAAAGGAGATGTCCATATGGGTCAAACCCTCGTGTACCTCATATGTGGTTATTTGCACAGAGAAGTCAGAGGAGCAGGGATGGAGCCAAAATACTACTCTTGGAGCCAGTTTTTGTAAAAGAATATTAAAGGAGATGTCCATATGGGTCAAAAACCCTCGTGCACCTTGGTGGACAGCTCTCAAGGATGACCAGCTCTCGGGGTTTTTTTGCACAAGAGTGAACACGTGTGTGCTTGACCACCTACCACTCCCTGGGACCCCTTGGCACAGGTCTTCTAAAGAGCCTCTTACCTCATGTCCAGACCGTTGAGGAATAGGATCCGGTCTCCAGCTTTGAGAGCAGCCTTCTCAGCCGGGCTCCCTAAATGCACAGGGAATGAGAGGGGCTTTAGCTGGCGGACCCCTGCTTACAGGGATGGGGTCCCAGCTCTCTGGCCGCTCTGTGCCCAGGGACACCCCCCAGGGCAGGGTATCTGCTGCAGCTGGATTATTTGGGTGGGCTGGAGCGGTTCACCAGGTACAGTGATGCCAGCGCCCAGCTTGCATTGGAAACGCGGGTGTGATTTCAGGCCATTCACTGAACACCGGCATTTTCCACCCTTCAAAACAGGGAGTGCATAAAGCCAAACTGAACTGTACCAAAGACGCTAGTTATTCAACTCAGGGAAAGTCCATCGCTGAGCCTTGTAAAAGTCCCTTTTGCTATTTTCTAGCCAGCAGCAGGCACTTAAAATTTCGAGTTCAGACCAGAGGTCTGAATCTTGTGGCTGGAGGTTTTCTTACCTGGCAGAACAGACTCGATCCACACCGGGGCATGGCCACGTAGCGTGAAGCCAAAGCTCCTGTTGCCTTTATAAACTCGCACAGTTCTGCAGGTGAAAAAGCAAATGTGACATCAGAGCCCAACATTTGGTTCTTGTTTCCTTTCCCAGCCCCTCCAAAGCCCCATTAGCCCGGGTGTCTCCTGAGTGCCCAAGCCCTTGACGCTCCCCATGTCCCCACATGGTCCCCTTTGATACCGAAGTGTCTTTCAAACGGGAGCCCCCGAAACGCGCCCTGCCCACAGGGAGAGGGGATGGAGGGAAGGTGTGCGTGGGTTTGGTGGCCCCGGATGACCACAGTGCAGCTGCCTGTCCTGCCAGCACCGCCCGCCACTCCTGCCTGCAGCCTGCCCGTGCCGGTGAGCAGAGGGAGCCCACGGTGCTGAGCCAGCGTGGGGTGGTGGGGTGGGGAGTGATCCAGGGGGGTGCTAGAAATGGCCCAGACAACACCACAGGGAGGGCTGGGGGGATCCAGACGCTCTGGAGGCAGGAAGAGATGCCGCTGTTTTAGGGGCAGAGCCCCTGAGCATGGCCTCTTGCTCTGCATTAATTACTGAATTCATAAAACCACCGTCCAGTCCTTCAAATCCAACGTGTTTTTAAAGTGGAACATGGGATATAGCTTATATAGCTTATATATTCTTATATAGAATAAGAGAGACTGTGTTTTAGGGGGGCAAAGATCTCGTAGGCTGATGAGAGAGAAATTAAATTCAGCTAGGAAATTCTGGAAGGAGCGTTAGGAAATCTCCCTGCTAGGAGGCTGATTGGAGCTGGGCGTTGTTCCCCGCAGGGAGCTGGGGGAAGGCAACATCACCGAGATCATTTACAACCAGAAAACCTGTTGTAGGGACTGATCCTACGCTGGCAGGGAGGGAGACTGTGCTGGAACTGGATTTTGGATAAGTCACACCAAAAATTATCCTGGCGGGAAGGTGTGCTGCAGCCGAACACCCTGGAGATACCAGCTGGAGGCAGGGGAGTAGCTCGGGACGTGCCTGTGACAGCGCAGTCTCTCCCAGGAGGATTCCCTGGCTGTGCTGGCAGACCAAATCCTGCGCTCTTGTTCGTGAGACGGGGCTGGGAACAAAGCAGGAGCCACCGCCAGTGCGGCAGGGCTCCTTGGCCCTCCGGGGCTGCTGAGGTCTGGCCATATGGGCAGCGGGAAACGGGTTAATCCCCTGTGCACGAGGGATCGTCCGTCCTTCCTCCCGCGGCCTCGCACCCAGACACCAGCCAGGGCAGGGCAGGACGATACAGCCTGCTCTGTGCCCAGGTACCCTGCATCCCGCTGGCATGGCCGGGTACCCTGCATCCCGCTGGCACGGCCAGGCACCCTGCAGCCCACCCAGCGCAAGAGCCGACATCCCTTCGCAGCCTGCGAGTGCCGTCTCAGCTCCACACAAGGCTCGTCCCAGCCAGCCCTGCAACAGCGAGGGGGCAGAAAGGGTGGCCCGGAGCTGGGACAAGGGGTGCAAACATGCCCAGCCTTTGAGAGGGAGAGGTCTTTGTTCATCGAATCATAGAAACATTTAAGTTGGAAAAGACCTTTAAGATCATCGAGTCCATCCTCCTCCCAGGAGGATTTCACCCACTCTGCACATCGGAGACACCTCCTTTCCCAGTGCCTTCCCCCCTTTCCCTGGCATCCCTCCCCCATACTGCCATCCATGCCAAATCAGACGCTGCCGCTGGGAACTCGAGGGGGTCCAGGAGAGGTGTTACCTGCGGGCAGCCCCCGAGGCCACATTGCTGGTGATGAGCGAAGTGGTTTTCCGCAGGCTCTTGCTGACCTCCTCGTGGCTGCGGGGCACGGAGCTGGCACGGGTGGAGACGAGGAGCCGCTCCTGGTGGTCCTCGCTCCGGCTGCGCCGCAGCCGATTGCTGTGCTGCTCGCTCTTGGAGCGGCAGAGCTTACTGATCAGGCTCTGCGACACCACCTCGTCAAACCGCTGCCGGTGCTTCTTGGGGATGAAAATCCTGGAAAAATAAGACAAGAGAGGGGAGTGAGGAGTGGGACTGGAGTGGCCATGGCCCAGAGCTCTGGATCCAGCCATACCTGGGAAAGGAAAGGTCAGAGCAGCCCCAGCCCCTCGTGCGCTCTTGGCCTCAGTCCTCCCTGGAGCTGCAAACGCCAGGGATGCCGGGGCCACCAGCTGCATCTCCTGCCCCGTCCCGTGCGTGGCTCCATCGGGGCAAGGAGGTCAGACCCCTCCATAGTGCACTACTCACAGAGACCGATTCAAACAGCTCAGTTCCTCCTCGTGCATCCCATCCCGGACCCCTTCAGCTGCTGGTTCCGCTATGCTGATGACGAGGTTCAGCTCGAGTCCCAGATTAATTGCTTCCCCCCGTGCTGACAGCCGGCGAGCCGGCCAGGCAGGGGAGGACCCTTCCCCCCGCAGTGCCCATCCCATTGCGACCCTGCTCCTTGCTGCGTGGTACCCACGGCCAGGGGTCCCAACATGCAGGTGCCCCCCGTGTTGCCAGTGCCAAACCGCCTCCTCCAGATCCGCTTCTTCCCCAACACATTCTGGGACCCCCAAAATATTGTTCCCCATCTCCTGCCCCAGCCCTTCTGCTGGGAGCCCTGGACTCCACTCTCCTGGGCTCCATCCTCGGCTTCTGCCACCCCCCCACCTCCTGCCACTGCCAGGCAGG